CCTGGCTGTCTTGAAAGGCCAGAACAAAGGCCTCACAATGGCAGAGGGGTCACTGCATCCTAGGAAGGTTACCTCAGAGAGCTGAGGATGCTTCCTGTGTTTGGGGAATGCAGAACTCACCAGAGGGGCAGTCTAGGGTGGCTGGGAGTTGGAGGCCACAACCTAGGACTCTGGACATGGCAATTCAGTGGGTTCTAACTGCAGTGAACTCTCTCAAAACTCCATGCAGTTTTTAAATACTTCCTGCTCTGATCAACACAGGGCTCTGTGCTCCCTTCTGTGCAAATCCCAGAGGCTGGTGCCTCTTCACTGCAGACCCCTGGCCTCATTTCTGGTCTTTGATTGCATGTCAATGCAACATCTCGGACTTGACATTCCAGCCACTAACTACTGATTTGTCTATCATTTCACAATCTTTGCAGCTTGTGTTCAGCATTGGTGGGCTTGTTAGACAATCTCAACCTCTCACACTGAATATCACACTGACAGAAACCTACAGACCCTGCTTCTATCAGCAAGGCCCCGTGATTATCCTGTGAGTGCAATGACCGTGAATTTGCCCAAGGCTCCCTGTGAGTACTTGTGCCTGCCGAGGTCACTGCAGCTTGCTGGGCATATGGTTTCTCGATTCTGTTTCTGAACTAATTCAAAATGTTGGAAAGCAAAGACCATGCCACCTCGCTCTTTTGCAGAATGTAATTTTTGACAAATTTAATGTAATACCTCTTTTTATTAGCAGTCCAAATAACATCTTGGTTGAAGACAGTGGACCACCCTCTGTGCAAGGACTAACCTGAGAAACTGTGAGTTCCAAGAGGGTTGTCTCCTGCAAGTGGAACTGTACGCCTTCTTTTATCATGAATAACAAATGTGTATAAACATAAAGTGTATTACACATAAGTTTATGCATATTTATTTTCTGTTCTAAATGAAAGAATACTTCAGCTCAGATTCATGACCAAATTTGGCTTAAAGAATGATGGGGGTTTTAATTCTAAGGACCCTAGTTTATTTTGGTCCACAAGTGTTTCAAATCTTTGCAAAAACACTGATTTAGCTTTTGAGGTGGGGGGGTCAGTTGCAGGGGCGTGACCTGGGGTCGTGACCCAAAGACCTCTCCAGTCCCCATTCACTTTCTTCCTGATTTTGGTTGAAGATTTGACTGGGCACAATCTCAATCTCTCACTTTCCTATTTTTAAATTCCTGTAGGTCTTCAGCCCTATGTTTCCTCTCCACTGTTTCCTAGCAATCCTGAACACTTCTGTTGCAAGTCCTCTTCATGAAAATGAGGGATAAAAAGTGATATTTTTTGTCCCAGATCCAAATGTGTGAAATTGTCCCAAATTTGCTCCGGGTGGTTTCTTGGCTCTAGGTCATTTGATGAATACTTTAATAATCAAACAACAGTGGGTTTTAACGTCTTGCCTTTGCATGTGGGCTTCTCACTTCAGACACTCATGGCTTCCACTTTGCGGGGGCTGTGGAGCTGGAGGCCCTGTCCTTGCAGCCTTGGCTTAGTGAGAATGTGGTCTGCACATAGCAGTCTAGGTGACCGCCCTCCGGGCCAGGATTGTCTTAGAGCACAGTCCTGTCCATCCCCTGCCCCTGAGAACTACTTTTTCTCAGGCTCTCCTGCCAACCGGTTTCCAACCAGGCTCAGAGAAAAAGAGGCCCTGGCAGGAGCCAGGAGGATGGAAGGGAGAGAGGTGGTCCTGCCTCCCCTCCTGGCCCTCGCCCGCCTGATGGCCACTCCATACTCCCAGACCCTAACAGACAGGCTGTCCCTGTGGTCCCAGCCTCTGTCTGGCCCACATATAAATCCCTATTATCCAGTGTGGGTTCTGGGTGTGCCGTCGACATCCGTTTCCTAGAGAGCCTCTAACAACAGGAATTTACTTTGTCAGCGTTCTGGTTAAAAGTCCCAAATTGAGTTGTTTGCAGGGCTATGGTCCCTTGGGACTCTGGCCTTACCTTTCCAGGATGCTGGCATGGCCACAATTTCTGCTGTCCCTGGGTCTGCCATGGACCCTTCTCATTCCTGTCTTGGTCTTCACCTGACTCTCTTCCCATGTCTTCCCCTTTCCATAGGACATTAGCCATGTTGGATCAGCAGCCACTACTCCAGGGTGGTCTCCTTTGAACTCACCCAGTTACATTTACAATGATCTTACCTCCAAATAGGCCCCATTCTGAGGCACTGGGAATTAGGACTTCAACCTGTCTCTGGGGAATCCAGCTCAGCCCTTAACACCCCTCTGCCTCGGTGGTGGCCCGCTGCAGCCGCTGACCTCTGTGGTCTTCCACTGCCTGCTGTAGGCGGCCCAGCTCTCTGGGGGCCTTCCCACCACATTCTAGGTTAATTCCCTCTGCTGGACTCTATTGGAGCTTCGTTTCCTGGCCAACCTCCACGGACTGTCCTCAGAGCCAGGGCTCCTTGGCTTTGCCTTTGTACCTTCCTGTCCTTTCCGTGTAATTACTGGCTTGAGGACCAGGACAAGACAGGGCCAAACCTGAGGAATCAGAGCAGGCGCCTCTCTCCCCACTAAAGCTGCCTAGGACACACACTCGCTTCAGAAAAAGCCTTGAGCAAACTGGTGCCCACGGGAGGTGGGAAAATCTGAAATGAGTAAGATGGGGCTCCCCCACACAAAGATGTGTTTAATGGATGCCAATCATGGGCCTCCTCAGTGAGAAGCACAATCAACCCAAAGAGCAACTTGGAATGTTTCCAATTTCCTTCGCCTCCATGACACTCCTGAACACCCTTGTTTTTCCCCAGTTGCTTTCATTGTCACTTGGTATAGATCTTTATGTTCTTACAGGAAACTCATGCCTGTGACAGGCGAGGCCCTTTGTGCTGCCTCAGAGCAGCTGGGCCTGGAAACACCGTGCCTCTCTGTTGGCTCTGCAGGAGGTGGTGTGCTCTCCTTGTGCACACCATTAACAGGCTCTGTGAAAACCCTGACCAAGTGTCATCCGTGCAGGTATTGCTGTCCCAGGGATACTATCCACTATCAAATGAACTTGGGGACACATGGGGGTAAATAACTGTCAATCAATGGGCTATAAGAAGCTTCCTAAAATAATGGATGCAGAAACTTCCTCTGGCCAGATTTATACCACACCAAAGTCAATGAAAAGGGCCCTGGTTTTCTGACTAGAGTCATGCAGTCATCTGCAGGCAGCAGAGGACATGTAACTCTGTGTATTAAGTTGATTCCTGGGCCATTAACTGACTAATTTGTTCAGCAATAGTTGGCAGGATCCGTTGCCCATCAGGTCTGCTTCTAGGCAACGGGAAGAGCATGGAAAACAACCAGTGGGGGTGGGGGTGTCCTCAGGGAGCCTGAACACTAGTGAATCACAGATAGTGACAATCCAGCATGGCAGTGAGCCAGAGGGGCCTTCATGGGAACCCTGGGAGATGCACTGGAATGGCCTGAGAGTGATGGGGTCAAGCCTGGGGCTGTCCTCCCAGAGGGGCAAGCCTCTCCAAGGAGGCAAGGCTAGTGCTGGGTCTGAAGGACAGAAGATGTTCTATGCAAAACTGGGGAAGGACATTCCAGACAGAGAGAAAGTTAAGTATAAACACCAAACCGCAGGAACAAACTCAAGGAGTCTAAGGAACATAAGCATCAATGTCTGAGCATGTCAATCAGTGGCCAGAGATGAGATGAAGTCAGAGGGGTGAGCAGGCCAGGTTGGGTAGGGTCTTGATGAGTTGTTACTTCACTTGGTCATCAGTGAGAACTTTGGGGAAGGTTTTCATGGCACAGAGAACTCCATCATCTCCCATGTGTAGCATGGACATTGAAGAAGAAAGGACCAGGGAGACCAGGGTGGCCCAATGAGAGATGGTCCCTGGCTCCAGGGTGGATGGGCAGCTGCAGGGGGCACTTTGGAGGTGGGGTCCACAGGATCACCAATGAACTGTGATGGGGTATGTTGGGCAGACTTTCTGGTGGCTCCTGCATACCCCACCTCCTGACATTATTTTTGCCCTGTGTAGCCCCTCTCTAGAGTGTGGATGGGCTGAGACTTGTTTCTGCCAGGATAAGGGAACATGATGGAATGGGGATTTGGGTGTTCATGTGAGATTGTGCCTTCCTTCTGGCTGGCAGACTTCACTGGCTTTCACCTTGGGGTTTTGAGGAAGCCGATGGCCGTGTGACAGGGAGCAGCACCTGTCCAGTAGCCAGCAATGAGCTGATGCTCCTAGCCTAGTAACCTATAGGGAATGGTGTCCTGCTCAGCCCAGCCTCAGCTGCACCTCTGCTGGGCAGCAGCCTGTGAGAGACACTGTGTGCACCCAGCCCTCAGTCACTGGGGCCACTAGCGCTTCAGGCCACTAAGATTCCAGCAACATTGCTGTGTGGCAATTGATCACTATTGCCTGGGGCGAGCAGAAATGAGGATTTGAGACTGACATCTAGGCCAGAGCAGAGGGTGGAAAGTAGAATTAGCTACTGAGACAGGGAGGCCTAGGGAAGAACCGCTTCAGTGGGTCACAGTGGGTGGAAGTTCCTAGGAGTGGCTGGACAGGTGTGCATGGAGCCCAGCAAGAGGGACAGTCAGCTCTGCTCACCATCCAGGCCCTCAGGTCTGACCACAGGGCAACCCCAGGCCTCCCTGTTGATGGTGCTGGGGTGGCCACCCAGGCAGCTCCTCTCCTGCTCCTCCCACTTTGCCAGGCTCGCTTCCCTTATCCAGTGCTTTGGGGCCTCCTGGTCTCCGTGTTACCATTCCCTGTCTCCCTTTACCCCAAGCGTCCCCTGTATCAGGTACAGCTCACCCTGACTCCCTCCCACATCTTCTTCCTCAGAGTGACCAGACTTTGGACCTTTGCCTCCTTTCCTCAACTTCTGGCCCTGTCTATACCCATATTCCAAGCCCATTCTCCCAGAAGCCCACTGCCTAGGAGTAAAGACAGCCCAGAGGTCAGTCCTGGGGAGGAGTGTGGACTTGGAGGGGCTGAGCCACCTGAGCAGAGGCTACTTACTGGCTGTGTGAGAGATGTAATGTGTCCCAACATCAACCATGTGCTTGTGGTGACACCCAGCATCCAGGCGCTGAGGAATGAAAGCAAAGGAGGTTCTGGTCACTCCGCAAGGTGGGCACTGGCATAGTGCCTTGTACCCAGCCTGGTTTTCATCAGAGTGAAAAAGTCCACCAGGCTAACACTGCCTCCCAGTTCTGGAACTCAAATTTTAAATGATTTCCACTTTTCTCCGTGTGCGCCCCTGCCCTTACCAATCACCCAGGGTGCTCCAGGCACATGTCTTTGGGTCCCTTCCTTCCTTACTGTGCAGTCCCAGCTCTCCTCTGCGCACCCAGTGGCGCCAGCACTGTCACCTGGGCTCCTCCACACTCCCTTATGCTGGCTTCTCACCCAACATGCCACTTTCAAGCCTACACTTCCTGTGTCACCGAGACCTTGCTGCCTAAGCCCAGAGATCACAGTCCTGTCTTCTTGAGCCTGTGCCGTGGTTACCTGTGTGGGCCTCGCTGCATGTTGTCACATTGCCTTCCACCTGTCTGCCCTCTCTTCTGTGCCCTGGCTGCGATGACAGTGTGTGTCCTCAGCCCTGCTCTTTGCAGGCCCTGGGCTGCTGACCTAGTCTGGATGGCCCAGGCCTTGCTCTCCAACCACACTCACCGCATTCCCACGAGCTGTTGCTCCTCTTTCTTCACCTCCACGAGTGGCCACTGTGACTCTGTTTCCAGCTCAAGACCCTGCTGGTTGCTGAGCTGTGTTCTGCAGATCCAGCGCCTGCAGCATCTCTGCCTCTCCTACTGGTCTCCACCGGCACGGGCCACCTCTCACAGGCCCAGGGCACTGCACCAGCCCTCTCACTGGTCATTTTGCTCCAGGCTTTTCTCCTTCCATCCAGTTCTCCACACTGAGTGATCTGTTAAAACTCAGACCCACCACTTCTGCTGAAGCTTGAGGCCACCCCACAGCCCCCAGTGTCCTGTGCTGAGGTAAGCTCTCAGCCTGGCCTCTGGGGCCTTCCTGGAGGCTGCCTTGGTTCCACATTGGCCTCCGTCTTGCTCACCCCTCACTCCATACTCCAGACACGCTGGACTCTTGGCAGTAGCCCAGGTGTCCCGGTGTCTCTGCCTCTTGCCTCCCCACAGGCTACATTCTCCAGCTGCCTCCTCCCCACCCCTCGTCAGGCCCAGCTCAAGTGAGTCTGGCCCAGGGACTTACCAAGGCTATGCAACGCTCCCTGAGCAGCCGGCCCAGGGGAGCACCTGTGCAGGGTGCCTCCTCCCCACCTGCCTGCCCACCAGCCTGCTCCCTTCCTGGGAGGGCGTTGCTGTGCCTTAGCTACCATGACGCTTCCAGCGCCCAGCCTAAGGCCTGGCAGGTGTGGCCCACCTGAAGAGCTGCTCTTGGAACACAGCCCAATGAGGCCAGAGCCTGGCATGTTCCAGCCTGTCTCCCATCAGCACCCCTGCGTGGCGTTCCCTCGTCCACAGGCTCCTCCTGGGTCTCCCGGCCACTGTCACTTTTGGTTCAGCTGAGATTTCACATTGCTGAAGCCCTCTGTGGACCACCCCACTGCTGACTCCTCCAGAATGCAGGACACTGGGCTATGATCTTGCTCACTTGTTGACTTACAAAGACGAGCCCTCTCCTCACTGTAATAGAACATCTTCCGTGTTCCCACACATTAGAAGCTGCCTGACACACGAAAGTTCTCAAAAAAAACACAACCTCTTGTTGGGTAAACTGGGAAAGCAACTGATGGTAACTAGTGAAGAGTGCTGTTTCTGAGGAGGGACGGAAGAGACCAGTATACTTATCAAACCCCGGGCGACATCTTGGGTGGGAAGTTGCGAAATGAGTTCCACTGACGACCACTGAGCAGAGTTCTGAGAAGGCCACGCAGGGCCGGGCCCGGTGTGGGTGGAGTCCGAAGAACAGAGCAAAGCCAAGAGGGCCTTCAACTTGCTCCACCCACTCTGCATACCCAGCCAAGGTCAGCAGGACCTGGACACACCGCGCTATTGTCAACAGGACTCTGGATTGGAAGAGAGAAGCTGCAGGCAGAGATACTGTGTGGGACGTTTGCTGGGCACAACCTCCACCTGTCTGGCCACCCCTCAGGCGTCAGTCTGATGGAGAATAGATGTGCGCACGTCCTCTGCTTCTGTCTTTCTGCATTATCTCCCACAGAGTCAGTCAAATGTAATCTGCAGAAAGAGAAATTGACATTCAGTGCACCTTGGAAATCCTGATTAACAATGTGCTTCATCCTGCACTCACTGCCAGTCACTCCTTAGTATTGTGTGAAGAAGTAGAGACTCTGCAGGGACTTACACTAAATATAATAATCCTTTTCTCAGAAGGTGGTTACAACAGCCAAAAACAGACTAACTTTTGTTTGAGAAAGGATATGTACATGTGTTCATATGTGTAAGTATGCTTGTGCCCCAGAACTTAAATGTGAGAGTGTGTGTGTATGTATTAAAGCATTAGTGTAAATGTTATATAAATGATTTTAATTACCATATAATAATTTTATGCATAGTATGTATAAGTCGTTTTACTTAACGACAAAGTTGTCAGAATAGAAATGCCCCTGTTTGTCAGCTCAGACATCTAGTAAGCAATCATCTCCTAGAAAGAAACCCAGGGTCTAGAAATCAGTGAGAAGGCTCTTTGGGCCTGAAACGGTTTAGGAAATGATGCTTCTCCAAGCCACTTTCTTTTTCTTTTAGTCCCCAATCTCAATGGCAGTTTTCAAAGATGAGCTTTTGTAACATTCATTCCACAGAGAATTAAAAGTGGAAAGCTTAAAAAGAAATAAGGGAGCATCAAAAGTCCTTAAGCTAAGAGTAAAGAAACCAGTCCATGCAGCCCAAGGCACCAAGAGGCAGAGTTTACCATATCAGGGACAAGGAAGAGATGCAGCGACCTATAGTGACCCAGTGGGGGCACATACTATGTGGACTCTCCGTTCAAGAAACCAGAGAAGTGGATAATATATACATTTAACAATATTGACATCACAATAGTTAAATTGTGAAAGTTCTATTTTGGAGTAGATAGGCTTTAATTAATTATAAAATTTGCTGGTCGGAAACAACATACTCTCCGGCCTGCACTGTAAGAGGTTACAGCTGAATATTTACAGGTGGGATGGCCCAGCTAGTGGACTGAGCAAGGGCACCACCTCCCCATTGTGCCCCAAGTCCTCATAAGTGACAGGAAAAGGATATCCTTAAGAATTCACAATGCCATGGAGATAGTAGGGGTAATAGTGAAACTATGCAGATCTTTCAGAAGATAGAAAGAACGGAGGAAACCACAGCCCAATGTGTACACAGAAAGCTGAGTAGGAAGACAAGAGTGTCTGTAGAGAAGCCCCGTCCCTGGGTGACCACAGTGACCACAGTGACCACACTGATGAGCGCCAGCCACTCCAGCCACCTCCTCCTTAAGGGTAAACGGACACAAACAGCATCAGACATCGGGGGGAACCATGAGAGGAAAAGGAAAGCCAGAGGCAAAGACAGAACACCAGCCAGGACACAGGACATTCACTGACGAGAAGCTCCCAGGCCCCCAGCAGCAGCACCCTGGAGGATCTGAGGTGGTGATGCACCACCAAGTGGACTGTGCTGCCGCAGAGACACAGGACAAGGGAGGGCGTTTAGGGGCACAGACTGCAGACAAAGCCCCGGCCATCCATGAACAGTGGACATGTGGGAAAAGCCATGCAAAACAGGCCAACAAGCTTTCTTTGCATGTTCCTCTTTCAGTTTTCTGTTTCTGGAAATCTTGTCTGACCGGTTGGAATCTTGAAATGAGCTTTCGTGTCTCTGATTCTTTCCTCAGTTCTATCCTCTTTTTGCTCTTATACACGGAAGCCAGTGGGGTATGTTTTACTTACAAGAATAGCTGTGCTTAGTGACCTATGAGCTCAGAGATCAAACCAAGGCAATATCACAAAACAGAGCGGGAAAATGCAAAGAAAATCACATGACATCTCATCATAATTTGTCGGGAGCCGCTCTGGACAGGAGTTATGGGCGCACCTTTAAGTCCTGAGTAAAGAGGTACTGAACAGGTATTGCACCCCGCAATACAATTGGACTTTACCTCCGATCGGAAAAAGAGGTGCAGCTCCAGGAGTGGGCGTCACCCTGTGGGGTTGGATTACACCCACTTGGTTGTTGTAACCCTACCCCTTGCCTCATTTCTATGGCTTCTCCCCAATAAAACCCGGGTTCAAGGTGTGCTCCCTCTCTTTCTTGCTGCCTTGCCCCCCTTGTGGGAGCTGTGGTTGAGAAGCAGTCACTAAACTCAAAGAAAAGTTACCTTCTGTGTCTGTGTCTTTATTTAGTCCACCAAAATTCACTTGGAGTGACCCTGACCGGTTTAGTTGTGTGTTGAGACAATAGTTGAAGTTCACAGGATTTTACATCTAAGAGCCTGCTGGGGAAATCCAAGTTGACAAGTACCATCTTTACCAACTCTAGGACTTCATCAGTGAGATTTCTGAAGCCTCCCAGGAAAAGAAATCGCCGGCACAGAGTTAGAATCATGTTGTTGGTGAACATCCCCAAATACCCTGAGGTGTTCTGAGGAAAACTTGTTTTAAATCAGGAATTCAGAGCCAGCCCAAAGACCCTGCAACAGGAAGACAGTGATAATGATGCTGACACTGCTTCCCCTGACACACCAGGCCCTCCGTATTGAAACCGGCCCCAGCTGCTCCCCCCCATTTCTTTTTTCAGGGTTCTGATCCCATAAATTCAAGGAATAGGAGTCACAAGCCCCAACAAGGAGCTCTACAGCAGATTTTCCTCCATCACTGAGTGTGCTAGTCCAGGGCTTTATATAGCACTTGGGTCCCTGCTATTGGTCCATATTTATGCTGATTGGGGTTTGGAAATGCACTAATACTGTGGGTCAGCTCTGGAGTCCCAACTTCCTCTCAGCTCTGCCCAGGTCCATTTCCTCAGGGCAGGTCAGAGGGGGAGGGGGAGGTTGTGGGACGGGGCTGCAGTACTGCGTGGAGCCGGCTTCTGCAGCAGGTAGGCCTGGCCCCCGAAGGGTGACAGGTCAGCACCTTGGCTCAAAGCCCCTCAGGACGCCTAGCCTGCATGGCGGGCCCACGCAGCCACGGGCCATGCTCAATGCCTGTGCTCCGACCCACCCAGGCTGCCACTCCAGGCTCCTGCTCTGCTGCGGCTTCTCAGCAGGGTCAGTGGGCCACCACATGCCTTGGCAGCTGGGAGCCATGTCAATGGGAAGGTTTTGTACACAGGAAGGACTAAGAAGAGGACCTTCAGTTGGGTGCAGACCTGTTCGCGGATGGCCTACCATGAAATGGAAGGTCGACGCAAGCCAGAACCTATGTGAACACAGCTTAAGTGCAAAACCCTCCGGACAACCCGTAGGTCAGTTTTACCTATTATTATTATTTTTTTAATAAAGAAAGAACACTCTAAGATTAATTTCTTTAAAACGATAAGAGAATAGGAGGTAAGGAAAGACAGAGGGAAGTGATAATAGGCTAAAATTTTGACCTTTTGAGAAGGAACCATATAGAAATTAAGTCTAGAAATTTACAAACCAAGACATGCTTCTGTGGGCATGTTAAAGCGTAACCACGTGAACAAGTCCATGAAATAGCTTCTAAACCACTGCAGAAAAGAACGGAACAACTGATTCCACTGAAGGAGTAAGAGGGAAGTCAAATAAATAAGAAATTATTTACCTAGAAGCATAAAAAAAGATGGCATGATTCAGCACAAAATACCCCAGACACAGCGTTAATAGAAATTGGTTGAATCCTCTGATTGAAGGCTAGACAGTTTTAAGCTGTCCACTTGGAGCGTGTGTGTGTGCCTTTGGGCAGGAGCCACCTTGCAGGACAGAGGGTACAGGAAGACGATGTCAGACCCGGCAGGGGCTGTTGCGTTGTTCCACCTTCACACATGGAGAACACATAAGTTTAGGAAATTCTTTTAAGCCAAGGTGAAACAGGAGGCGTGTCAGTGAACTACCCAGATGGCTGCGTGCTCCTCTGCCCACCGAGGTGCATGCGGAGCCCTTCCCACCCACAGCATGAAGCTAGCATGGCACATGCTGATAAACTGAGTTGTTTTGTATTGCAAAACTACTAAAATAAAATATATTTTTAGAAAGAAGAAAACATTCCAATTTCCTCATCCAGAAATAACAAAAATCCGAGCTTGTGAATGGCATGTAAAGCCCAGTTAGGGCACTACCAGGGGAGATCTCCACACTAGCCCTTCAACCTGCACC